AACTAGGATAAAAATAAAGTCAATTAGTGATATAAACATGCTAGGCAATGAGCTTATGATGCTTTCAGATAATACCAGGCAATGAGCTACCAGATTTCTGAATGAACACATCTTGTCCTAATTAATTAATTTAATCCATAAGTGGCATAACCATCTGCAATCAATTTAAGGAACACAAGTGAGTGTGCAATGATTTGTAACTGTTTATGTAAAGACTTTCTTTTTGTTTTCGTAATATAACTTTTTGACCTACTATGGTTAAATATATTTTGAATCTTCAAAAATGAAGTTGCAATGGCTTAATATGATTGTTGTGTTAAGGCAGTAACTTCTGATTTGTCTTTGTCACTTACGTAAATTGGTGTGAATATATGTTATTTTCTGATTTATTTTAGATAATAACTTTAATTGTAATAAAATTAGAAATTAACTTTAATTGTAAATATGCTTTGTAATATCTTAACGGAGTTTCAGAAAGCAAACATCAATCCTTTCAACTCAGCATGATTTTAGAATTAAAATTTCATTGCAAGAGTCAAAACTGCTAAAAGCTTATTGCATGAGTCGAAAACAGTGGGAGGCAAGATAACGATTATTGAAGGCTCATGATAAGGAATTTTCTCAAGGTTTCAGTTTTATTTTTTCAAAAATATTTGAGATAAATGAAATTTCTACTAACGCAATATAAGAAATCCAAAGCAACATTTACTTCTTTAGCGCTATTTACTAATACTATTATTTACTTATTATTATTATTTACGTGTTCCGCCCTAAAGCACTACACGAAAGGGAGGGATGTCTTAGTGGAGGACATTATAAGGGGAACTGGCTCGTATTAACACGTTACACATGGGAAAAACAACCATGCAGTCAGCCCGTTTCCGGGATTCGAACCTAGGACCGAATTACCAGAAGTCAGGGACTTTACTGGTCGGCCGCTGGTGGGCATTCTTTAGCACTATTATGTCACTGGTTAAATTTAGTTTAACACAAAAACACCTATGATAAGACTTTAAAACGCAATAGTAATGCAACAATTCATATTTACAAGCAGTATGATAAACAGATTAAACTTTGTAAGTTAAATTAAAATCGTGTATACGGTTGAACCATATGCACAAAAGCAGCATCTGCTTCCTATAATTTAATTCTGTAGGATGCCAAATACATTATTTTAAAGAATAGGAAATTAAAGAACGCTTTCTGAAGTATCAACACACTTTATTGGCATCCATCACTTGAAATCACACGAAGTGCTACACATAGTGTTAAACACATCAAAGTATATTTTTATATCATAACACCGGGATCAACTTAGGCAGAAGAGCTATTTAAGTCAGTTCTTTAAGTAATTTGTTTGGCTGGATTTACAACCAGTGAATCCTTCCAGTGAGCAGCATGCACGCTCAGAATTTCCTTTTGAAAGTTAGTAAGCATAAAATTGAAAGGAGAGTTACTATTCAAAGATTTATCTCCTTTGATTGAGTATACCAGTCACTGAATATAGGTTTAGGCTGCAGCCATTTTTCATTCTTTTTGATTTACTTGTATTACTTGTTCTTTTTCATTTACTTGTATAGAAGATGGGGAGTCACATTCTCAAAATATAGGATCCTCTGCTGCTGAAAGGAAATACTGCAGAAATGAAAACGCGCAAAATAATTTAATAAAACTAGATATTAGTAGTTTACCTAACATATTTACGCTGCCAGAAAATAAAAACCACGAAGCTGTAAATATCAAGCAGAACAGACAAATAGTATTGTTTTGTATTTAAAAAACGTTTTAACCTCTTTGCAATTGCTTGATGTTTTCTAACATATTTCAGCGTGATGAATTCAAATAGGACATCATGTAAGTTTAAGACAACAAAGGATAAAAGCTTATTTTTCGAAACTATTGCTTTTGAAACTATAATTTTGTTTTTATAGCTTTAAGAAGCAAATGCCCTGTTTGTAAAGAATTAATGGAAAAGAGATATTTTTGTTTCGCACTAAGATTTCGCATGCTTTATTTTTCTTATCAGGCATATCATTTTCACAGGAAATATCATTTCCATGATGTAATGGTTAGCATGCATTCAAATATTCCATTTGCATAAAATAAACAACATTTACACGGTCAAACGTTTTTGCTACAAATTTCACTGAAGATTTCACTGATGATCTTCATAGTATTTTGAAATAACATTCCGCTGCATCTTCAGACATTTTAACTTTTACAGTATAATCTAAAGAAGTAAAAGGAAATTCATTTACAAAAAAATTGCTTTTAAACGTATTTCGGACAAAGCGACTTGTTACTTACAATATCAGCTGTATTTAGTAATCCCTCCTTGACCATCGCGTTAAATATCACAGATAGCACAACTTCTTATTTCATATACATACTTTGCTTTATGATGCTCTTATACATAATTTTATCAACATATTTATAATTGCCCTATCAGAAAAATCTCCTACTTCAGTCGTAAAGAATTATCGTATTTACCCTGCGTCTTGTAAGTGATAACCATGCTCAACTGAGAACTGGAAGATGTATGATCTGAATGTTGGCGAAATCATATGGGATTTTTTGTTTCCTGTCTTCGAAACATATAATGGTCTCTATGCCGTAACATAGAGTTTCTGTTTAACCCTTTCCGGCACACTACCTTTTAAAGTTGGAGTTTTGATTTAAAAAAAAAAAAAAAAAAAAAAAAAAAAAAAAAAAAGGTAGGCAGTCTAATTAGGCCTAGAGAAATACACAAGTAAAGTTTTGTGAATTTATCGTTTTAATTATGTGGGTGCGCCTAAAGTGGGCACACTGATTGAATAGAGCTTCGAAGAGAGTGCTAAAACGAGCATTGTTGCCAATGAACTGACCGATGAGATGGGCAGAAACAAAGAATACAGACTCTCAGTTGTCCTAGATTATCGGTGAGAACGATCTGTATACATTTAGGGTTCGCCGTTTGATTTTAGGCAAGATTTCAAGGTAAAAATTTAAAACTAATATAGAATAAGGAGATTAGCATACAGCCAAGAAATAACATTGAAATTCCTTTTCAAACAATTCCTTTTATACCCTAAAAAAATCCGAAAGATTTCTTCGAAAAATGAGGGTGTTAAAAAACTAAACATGGCCAAAATATATGGACTGGTTTGTGTTGAGCTGCCATCTACTATAAATAAAGAAGGTTCAGAGTAACCTATAGTAACCTAAAAATCCTTTTTCATTAAATTTTCTGTGCGTACAGAAGGAAAGTTTTAGGTGCGACCAGACCACACACATTGTGCCACAAAGGGTTAAAGAGAAATGTGTTGCACTGCTGGATACAAAATATTTTTATATTCTATATGCACGTTCGTCGCCATTCTGCGAAACGTAAGATGTTTCATTTTTATTTTACATTTTATATCTCTGTTACTGGTTAAATCTCTCTGTTCCTGGTGATTTTTGTAGCTGCAGATGCAAAAATACTCCTATGAGCCTGAATATTCCGCACACAATGAAGCAAAATTCGGGAGCGAAATTCATGCACGTCCACTACGTTCAGCGTCGAGTTCTGAAGTATGCCTTCAGACAACTGTAAACATTGCAACCCGGATTCCAGTCGCAACATTCATCTCACATGTGAGCTGTGATACTGTAGCAGCCGTGTGTCGCCAGGCGGAATGTGCCAAGTAACGATCCTCATTCTTTGTTATGGATCTTAGTCGACCATGGCCAGGTCTTCGCAATATAGTTCTAGTGTCCTGAAAATGCTTCCACAGATTTTAGATGGCACTGGGCATTACACTGAGTTCTATAGCCGACACGTTCGTGGCGACTCATTTTACCTAATACCTTATAAAATTGATCCAAATTTTGGGTGAAACACAAGAGACGTCGCGAAGGAGTACGAGAACACAAACCGGCGAAAACACCCTGTCACATTCACAGATTCGCACGCCTACGTTTACGGATTCGACTTTGAATATCTGCATAATTTTTCGGCGACGTAATTATTATGCTTGGCTTAATACTTTTCTCAAAGTAGACATAATTTGCATATTCTGTTAACTTTGCCCACGAGTTTATATGAAACATTAATTAATATGAATAAAATCTCATCAAAAATATAAGAAAGTTTTGTGGAGTGAAAGAAGTTTGCGTGACGCACTTTCGTTTCCCTCTTGTTTATCAGAGAAAGTTTAATACAAATTCTAAAGCTTAAAATAATAGGATTTAGTGAAACAATAGAATAATCTACTGCAGATTTATGAAAATGCTTCCCTTTGCCACTTTTTCGAGCTACTTTTATAAATTTGGCTATGTGCTTTTAATTTGAACTTAAACTGTTTCAAACTGCTCGACTTTACATTCAAGTCTGCTTTTTCTTTCTGTTCCATCTTTTTTATAAGAATATATTCATAAATCATAAAATATTAAACATTCAGATATTTTTATTACTTTGTTAGTTATTTTATCTTACCATCTGTAGTTGACAAATAAATTAAATGGGGTAAAAATAGGGAAAACTTTAAAAAAGATAATATAAAATTATATTTATAAATTATTAGTAAATATTATACTTAATTTACCTTTTAAATAGGTGGAAAATTGAATCTTAAAGCTAGGCGAAACATAAACTTTCATATGCAAAGGAGGATATTTCATGTAGCATAATTTAGAAAGACTTCTTTTCATCTGTAAACTCTTATTATCCCCATTTCTATACAGAATGAATTTAGTTCTGAACTGAATCTGGTGATTAATTTGAAATGTATTACGATATTTATGGTCTCTCTTTTTATATTTTTAAACATTTATATGTTTTTGTTTATCCAAATAGAATGAAAGTATTGCCGATTGCAGAATGTACCATTAGTCATCACAACAAATAGTTCTTGCGTTTCTATAAAAGAGTTCTTAGAAAGGTATCAGTTTATAAAAGGAATAGAAATCTAAGGGGGGGAACTTCCAAAATGAACATGCGGAAATTTTAATATTAGCTTCTGGAACTGTTTGTTACCTACAGTGTACATCTAACTTCCAACCATCTTCTATTGCACTTCCTGGTATCGCTGGATTATCTGCTTGACAGTACAAGAACTTCCCATTGTCGTCACTCGTCGGAGTAATGGTCAGTGTACTAGTTGTGATATTTCCTTGCGCCAATACTCTGGAAACCGCACTTTTCAGTTTATAACTTCCTTTTCTCCAAGAGATGACAGAAGGTGGTCTTGAACCTTTCGCTTCGCATTCAAACTGAACAGTTTTCTTGGCTGATAGTTTCTTGCGCTTCCCCTTCACATGGACCGACTGTGGCCTGACTGAAAAACATATGATTATGTTATAATTGCAATGCACGTTAGATGACGAACAAATAAAAACTTTGAAATTACTTCTAAAATATATCAAAGATATTAAGTACAAGAACATAATCAAATTAAAAGTTATTAAAACGATAGTTGAAGGAAATAATAGCAAAATTTGTTTCCAAAGTAATATAAAACATAATCTTTTAAAGAAGCTGGCTTCGCACACGAAAACCACTGTATATATTTTGCAGATATAAAGTATTTTTCTCCTTTCTGCATGCTCTCATGGTGTAACGGTAGCACACCAGGTGCGTATTCGAGAGCCTAGACTTGAGTCCCGGTGAGGGCATTGTTCAATTTTCAAGTCTCGAATATTGAAAAACCTAGAGACTCTTTAGTGGTCTCCGAGCTAAAAAAGGATGATTTTTCTTCACCACCAGGATTTAGCAATCGAGTTCCCTAATGCCCAGTCGATTTTCTCCCACCTTTCTGCATATCTTCGTTATATAATTGGAAGCATACTCGCCGCGCATTTGAGAGGTTCAGGCTAGATTCCCGGCGAGGGCATTGCACATTTTTCAAAATGTACCAAATACGATTTTGCAAGGGCCTAGCAAAGTATATTAAATTCTTTTACATTAATATCTTTATAAAGTACATTAATATCTTTATAAACTTCTATCCATTATAGTAGCTTTCGTCCGACATTCCTGAGGGGGGATAATCCTGCCGAAATTCGAAGCCTGCCGAAACGTCTCAGTCATCATGAACATTAAAACGGTCATGTTCAACCAGAATTTTTAGTGTTCGTCATTACAAACACAGACGAACGTGCTACACTACACAACTGACAGTTGTTGAATTTCAGTAAATTTTGAATTCTGTTTCACTAGAAATTTCCTGATTATACAATGTATTTTCATAATAGTTTATTGGTTAGATTTGATCTTGAATAACACATTTTAACACATCTCCGGTGAACAGCTCATATTTGCAGCTTCCACTATTATATGTAAGACATACTTTATTTAATTTGTAATACACGGTGGGCCAAGCAAGACCTACCAATGTTAAACACAAATAACTTTTTTATTTTTTGATATAATTATTTTTTTCTTTTTGTAGGTTATAATTGAATTTTTTGAAATTTATTATGGAACCAATGCAGTACAAAACAACGTGTTAAATTATCGAGTTTTTCTATTCTTGTCAACGATCAATTTTATGACGCAGCGTATCGGCAATATTTTAATTCAGGGGATGGAATGCCGGAAATGATTTCAGCAGCTTATAACAGAACAATGATTGAAAACATTTTGAGGTCAATAGCAGTGCAGAATCCTTTTTTTTTATGGGGATATTTAAAAACCAAAGCGTATGTTAATTAATCAAAGACTGTAAGACAGCTGAAGCAGAATATTCGAGACGAAATACTGAGCTTTCAACCAGAAACTTTACGTAGTGTAATGGAAAACGCTTTAAAAAGAGCCAATCCCTGTACTGAGATAAATGGTGGACATTTGTCTGATGTCACATTTTATACATAATTTCCATTAAGTATATTTAATGTATAAAAATAATCAAAATAAATGATTGTTACAAGAGTTATCCGTGTTTAACATTTAGTAAGTCTTATTTGGCGCACCCTAAATTAATTAAAATAAATTATTTTTACAAGAGTTATCCGTATTTAACATTAGTAAATCTTATTTGGCGCACCCTGTAGTTAGGAAAATCTGGCACACCCTGTAGTTAAGAAAATCAGCAATTTTTATGTTCGGGTAATTAAGTAAGAAAATTTATATATTTGTTGTTATATACTCGTATTTACTGGGCGTCCTTCCAGCAGTCAGATTTTGCAGACACAATTCGTTTAGAATTTAAATTGATTACACAAATTTAAAGGAAATATAAATTCCAGTTTAGTTCTTAGTTCCATTCTTAGGCATTATCCAGTTTAGTTCCATTCTTAGGCATTATCCAGTTTAGTTCCATTCTTAGGTATAAGTCGCAATTAATGATTTCTGTCATACATGTAAAATATTTTAAAAATATCCTTTAATGATTTTAATGATTCTATCATATTTCACTTTATATCTGCAATTTTTTTAATCGTAAGCACTACATATACTTAATAAATATCAATCAATGCGAATGTTAGCAATAATTAAAATAAACATCTTGTGGTTTTTTACGATATTCTCTAATGGATTTTAGCTTAATATTAAGCTAGCTAAAAATTAATACATGAAAAAGTTTTTATTTTAATTACGAACCACGCTGGTGGTCGGTCATAAATGTAACAAAGTAACCATACCTTTTAATCTCGAGTTAAGTAAAAAACTCGAAAGTTTCGTGGCCTTTCTGAGTGTGACTGAAAAAATTGGAAAGGCAGAGTTTTTTCTCCAAGTTTTTTTAATCGATATTTTCCCGGTCGCTATTTTTGTAGCGGATAATTATTTTATAATGAACTTTTTTTTTTTTTTTTTTTTTTTTTTTTTTTTTTGCAGGCAGTTATATCTTACGGATTTAGAATGATGGCATTTATATAGGTGTTATGGAAGATTTATAAAAAATGAAATTTATTGTTACATATCTTAGCATTTTTCAAGTTTTATATTTTTTAAATTTACTATTTTTTACTCCCTGTTTCTCTACTCGCAAGAAATTAAATCTGTCTAGCATATTTCTGGAGAAATAGATGTTGGCTTTTTTCAGCTATATTAAAAAAAGCTGGAATAAAAAAAAAAAAAAAAAAAAAAAAGTATCTTTTGAATTTTAAAATTAAATCCAAGGATTTTTATTCATACAAGAACTTGAGAGTATTATGCAACTTCCCTTGCAACCTTCACCAACTGAATTCACTCTAAATAAACGTACAACATAATAGTCTTTATTTCTGTAACAGCGAACTGAGGGCTTGATTAGAGCTAATCAATTATGGGAAAGCACACGAGGAGTATCAGCCTAAGTCGAGATATGCATTCATGGAGGACTTTTGAAGGAAAACTGGTTTCTATTCTCACGTTACACACAGAGAAACCCACAAAATCAACAATGCAGGAGAATTTTCCAAGTAATCTGGCTCATATCAGTCTTGCGTATGGATAAAAACTCAAACCTACTCATGTAGATATTAATCCGGATATGAGCATCTGTTGAACTAGTAATATTTTATCGACCTTACTTAGTCCACTGATGTGTAATGAATTCATATTCGACTTTCATTAAAAATTTACTGCTGCTTTACAGCCTTCTAGAAACTGACTATTCTCTACGTCCCATACTCTTGTACTGACATTACTACTCACAGGGCCTGGAATGTTTTGAATTATTCTCCGGAATGTTATTGAAGCAAGCTTTATTAAAAAGATCTGTAAAAATGTTATTTTTTTTACTTTAAAAAAGTTTAAGTTTTATTTGAAAGAAAAGTTAAATTACTACTACCACTGGGCTATCTGTCTTAAATCGGCATTTTGTTGTACTAATCGTTTCACTATGAAGCGCAAATCACTTTTTAAATTGTTACCACAAAATATGATCGATCTGCATTATATTTACAGAAATTAAATAATGAAGAATCTGCATGAATGTATGTATGTATGTTTCTTGCACTGTGAAAAAGCGACAGTACCCAGTGCCATTAAATTTTGAATAACTCAATCTTCTACCCGAACATGTGCACCTGAAAGCCCGAATTTTGAATTTCGAATTTGTTTTATAATCTATTTCATATTTTGTAAAATTTTCACGAATTTTTGATTAACAAACTCAACGATTTCAAAGCGAGCATTGAGCACCTTATGGAGGGGGGGAAAAACATTTTTATCTCCAACGCGCGCGTGACGCTTTGTCGAAAATTTTCAAGGTATGCTGTTTTAAATATTTTGTGATATTGGTGTTGATCTGAATTTTATGCGGTTTAAGTGCGAAGAACATAATACGTAACGGACAAGTTAACTCACAAAACGTTAGAAAAGTCCCTTTGGGACTTTTTTAACGTTAAAGTCCCTTTAGTAATATAAAATTTGAAATATTTCGGATTTTGCTATTTTGTTGTTAAAACTTATTTCTAAAATATTCCAAATTGAAAATGGCTCTTAAAGCCTTTTCTAGAAAAGTGCCACAAACGCGCATGCCTTATGCTTTAGTGTAAAATTATCAGAACGCATTTTATATAAGTAGCTATTTATACTCGTAAAAGTACTATTGAACTCGTAAAAGGAACGGTTTCGTCTTCTAAGTTCTGATCAAGCTGATTTGTTTAAACCTAAACATTACGTTAAGAAGCAACTTCATTCTGAATTAAAATTTAAAGAACCTATCGTTGGTTATTAATATTTTTTTTTAATTTTCTTCATTTTTGCGCTTTACAAAACAGTGGTAAATAATTAAGGTCTGCAAAAAAAATGATGCACAGTTTATAACACAGTTTATAACAAAATAGTTTATTCCCTGGAATCGCGAAACATCGTGACTAAGTAATCTAGCGTGTGAAAAGAAAGTTTAAGTCAACGCTGTAATAAGATTATATCTTATTACAGCTTTATTCTAAAATAAAGCGACGGCTGTCACGAACACAGAGCGTTTTCATATATTTTAACAATTTTTATTACAGCTTAAAAGAAAATAATTGTTTATGTATTCTAAGAATAAGGAATATTAATTTTCTTCTTTTTTTTAAAGAATTCCCCTGGATTTATTTATGTTACTGTGAAAGAAAATACTGTCGACATTCACCGGCGAGTGTCAACATTCACATAGTCGTTTAGTGTATGCCCAAAATATTTGCCAAATATCTTTGTGGCGACATCATTTGCGTTAATGAAGCACCAGATGTGAAACTGCTCGCCTGCAATTTTCTTTTCGCCAGAGTGGCCTCCGACCAGAAAAAGAACAATGACTTGATTTCTGTTTGTATTATTCTATATCCAAAAAATGTAAATAAATATTAATTTTCTTGGAGTGAGAACGATTTTTAACATTTCCTATGTTCCAAACTTCCACACTGG